TTTTTCCAAAGCTATAATATCCTTTTTAAGGTGTGTTGACCAGAATTGCACACAGTATTCCAGGTGAGGTCGCACCATTGATTTATATAGGGGCATTATGATATTGGCAGATCTGTTTTCAATACCCTTCCTAATAATCCCCAGCATAGCATTGGCCTTCTTTATTGCAGTCACACACTGTCTCGACATTTTCAGTGAGTTATCTACTATGACGACTCCAAGATCTCTCTCTTGGTCAGTCTCTGCCAGTTCAGACCCCATCAATGTGTTTTTATATTTATGATTTTTGGCTCCAATGTGCATCACCTTGCACTTGGCCACATTGAACCCCATTTGCCACATTGACGCCCACTCGCCCATCCTTGACAGATCCCTTTGGAGTGCCTCACAATTCTCACTGGTTTTCACCACCCTGAACAACGTCAGGGGTAAGGTGAGATGCAGACATTTTAAAGAAATAGATGGCCTTTCCCTCGAATAAAGAATAGATAATTTTGTTCACCCTGACCTGAACGGCCCAGGCTAGCCCAATGTCATCACATCTCTGAAGCTGAGCAGGGTTGGCCCCGGTTAGTCCTTGGACGGGAGACCACCGAATGAAATCCAGGGCTGCTACGCAGAGGCAGGCAATGGCAGACCACCTCTGAAAAGTCTCTTGACCTGACCTGGCTGGCCCAGTCTTGCCTGATCTTGTCAGATCTTGGAAGCTCAGCAGGGTTGGCTCTGGTGAGTATTTGGATGGGAGAGTCCAGAGTTGCTACTCAGAGGAAGGCAATGGCCAACCACCTCTGTTCCTGTCTCTCCTTGGAAATCCTGCGGGGTTGGCTGCAACTGGATGGCACTTCCCACCCCCAATTTGGTTTGTGTGAATAAAGTGCCACCAAGTCGCAGCCGACTTCTGGGGACCCCAGCAAGAGGCTTTCAAGGCAAGTGAAGAAGAAGAGAAGAGTTTGGATTTATACCCCGCCCTTCACTCCCCAAAGGAGTCTCAGAGCGACTTACAAATTCCTTTCCCTTCCCCTCCCCACAACAGACACCCTGTGAGGTAGAAGAAGAAGAGAAGAGTTTGGATTTATACCCCGCCCTTCACTCCCCAAAGGAGTCTCAGAGCGACTTACAAATTCCTTTCCCTTCCCCTCCCCACAACAGACACCCTGTGAGGTAGAAGAAGAAGAGAAGAGTTTGGATTTATACCCCGCCCTTCACTCCCCAAAGGAGTCTCAGAGCGACTTACAAATTCCTTTCCCTTCCCCTCCCCACAACAGACACCCTGTGAGGTAGAAGAAGAAGAGAAGAGTTTGGATTTATACCCCGCCCTTCACTCCCCAAAGGAGTCTCAGAGCGACTTACAAATTCCTTTCCCTTCCCCTCCCCACAACAGACACCCTGTGAGGTAGAAGAAGAAGAGAAGAGTTTGGATTTATACCCCGCCCTTCACTCCCCAAAGGAGTCTCAGAGCGACTTACAAATTCCTTTCCCTTCCCCTCCCCACAACAGACACCCTGTGAGGTAGAAGAAGAAGAGAAGAGTTTGGATTTATACCCCGCCCTTCACTCCCCAAAGGAGTCTCAGAGCGACTTACAAATTCCTTTCCCTTCCCCTCCCCACAACAGACACCCTGTGAGGTAGAAGAAGAAGAGAAGAGTTTGGATTTATACCCCGCCCTTCACTCCCCAAAGGAGTCTCAGAGCGACTTACAAATTCCTTTCCCTTCCCCTCCCCACAACAGACACCCTGTGAGGTAGAAGAAGAAGAGAAGAGTTTGGATTTATACCCCGCCCTTCACTCCCCAAAGGAGTCTCAGAGCGACTTACAAATTCCTTTCCCTTCCCCTCCCCACAACAGACACCCTGTGAGGTAGAGAGAGCTGTGAGAGCTCTATGACAGAAACTGCTCTTAAGAACAGCTCCGATAGAACTATGGCTTTCCCAAGTTCATCCAGCCAGGTGCAAGTGGAGGAGTGGGGAATCAAACCCGGTTCTCCCAGATTAGAGTCTGCGCATTTAACCACTACACCAAACCGGCAAGGAGGCCACACAGGCCAATGGCCCATACAGTCCAACGCTCTATGTCACACAGTGGCCCAAACCCAGGTGCCATCGGAAGGTCCACCAGCGGGGCCAGAACTCCAGAAGCCCTCCCACTGTAGCCCTCCCACTGTTGCCCCCCCCCCAGGCACCAAGAAGTCAGAGCCTTGTGGCTAAAAGCCACTCATGGACATCTGCTCCATAATAAGCAGTGGGGCAGCTCCTGGGGCCAAGGGCTTCTGGCAGGGCCCACTGTCACAGATCTCCCCTGTTATGTATGAAAAGTCATGTTAAGCTTGAGACCTTAGCCAGGATTCTAAGCTGGAACAATCCTATTGCCTAATGCTTAATTGTAAGCAATCAGATGCAAGAGAACTGTGCCGGAGGGAACAAACCTGATTGGACATTACTGTAACAATGCTATTGGTCCTTAGCTATTCTAGGGCGTGGCTACATCAGCCCGGGATAGTTTAAAACAGGGGTCCTCAAACTATGGCCCGGGGGCCACATGCGGCCCGCCGAAAACATTTATCCGCTGTTATGTATGAAAAGTCATGTTAAGCTTGAGACCTTAGCCAGGATTCTAAGCTGGAACAATCCTATTGCCTAATGCTTAATTGTAAGCAATCAGATGCAAGAGAACTGTGCCGGAGGCAACAAACCTGATTGGACATTACTGTAACAATGCTATTGGTCCTTAGCTATTCTAGGGCGTGGCTACATCAGCCCGGGATAGTTTAAAAGTTTGTGTGTGTGTTCTTGACTGTTTTCCTGTTCAATAAAGCTGAATCAATTCCTTACAATGGAGTTGAGTCAATACACGACATCCCCCACACCTGTTCACCTTCCCTACTACACGTCCATGTGCCTCTCTCCTTGCCCACTTGCTTGCAACCACTCCACCACCCGGCTCCCAGCTTCCCAGCATTGATAGGGAAGCGCATGCAGGAGTTGCAGAGAGGCAGCTCTTCCTAATGGCCACAGCAGCTGCACATAATAGCCAGTGCTACTATGGGGGAAAGGACATGAATGCAATGCAGGTGGATGTGGGTGCAGGTGGTGGGTGAGAGAAAGGGCGACATGAGGTGGGAAGAAGAAGAAGAAGAAGAGATTGGATTTATACTCCGTCCTTCACTACCCAAAGGAGTCTCAGAGCGTCTTACAAACTCCTTCCCCTCCCCACAACAGACACCCTGTGAGGTAGAAGAAGAAGAAGAAGAGATTGGATTTATTCCCCGCCCTTCACTACCCAAGGGAGTCTCAGAGCGGCTGACAAACTCCTTTCCCTTCCCCTCCCCACAACAGGCACCCTGTGAGGTAAAAGAAGAAAAAGAAGAGATTGGATTCATACCCCGCCCTTCACTACCCAAAGGAGTCTCAGAGCGGCTCACAAACTCCTTTCCCTTCCCCTCCCCACAACAGACACCCTGTGAGGTAAAAGAAGAAGAAGAGACTGGATTTATACCCCGCCCTTCACTACCCAAAGGTGTCTCAGAGCGGCTGACAAACTCCTTTCCCTTCCCCTCCCCACAACAGACACCCTGTGAGGTAGGTGGGGCTGAGAGAGCTCTGACAGAAACTGCTCTTTTTCAAGAACAGCTCTTATCGGAACTGTGGCTTGCCCAAGGTCATCCAGCAGCTGCATGTGGAGGAGTGGGGAAACAAACCCAGTTCTCCCAGATTAGAGTCCGCGCATTTAAGCACTACACCAAACTGGCTCTCAGTGAGGAGGAGGAGGAGAGGTGGTTTGCCGTTGCCTTCCTCTGCAGAGCCTTCCTTGGTGGTCTCCCATCCCCGTACCGACCCTGCTTAGCTTGTGAGAGCTGATGAGATCGGGCGATCCCGTGCCACCTTCCCTCCCCCAGTTTGGTTTAGTCCATGGTAAATCATTTCACATTTCCTCCAACAACCCCTTTGTTGAGACTTAGTTCGTACGGACAGCCAGTTTGTTGTCATGGTAAGGAGTGCGGGCTCTAATCTGGGAGAACTGGGTTTGATTCCCCACTCCTCCACATGCAGCTGCTGGTGTGACCTGGGTCAGTCACAAGTTCTCTCAGAGCTGTTCTCTCAAGGGCAGTCCTTGGGAGAGTGCTCTCAGCCCCACCTACCTCACAGGGTGTCTAGTGTGGGGAGGGGAAGGGAAAGGAGAGATTGTAAGCCGCTCTGAGACTCCTTTGGGTAGTGAAGGGGTGTGTGTAAATCCAATCTCCTCCTCCTCCTCCTCCTGTTGTCTTCTTTTTCTTCGTTACAAATGGATGCATTGATTTATCTCTGAGACTCCTTCAGGTAGTTAAGGGTGGGGTATAAATCCTATCTCCTCCTCCTCCTCCTCCTCCTCCTCTTCTTCTTCTTCTTGTTCTTCTTCTTCTTCCAGTTTGGTGTAGTGGTTAAGTGCGCGGACTCTAATCTGGGTTTGATTCGCCACTCCTCCACTTGCACCTGGCTGCATGACCTTGGGCAAGCCATAGTTCTGACAAGAGCTGTTCTTGAAAGAAGAGCCGTTTCTGTCAAGAGCTCTCTCAGCCCCACCTCCCTCACAGGGTGTCTGTTGTGGGGAGGGGAAGAGAAAGAGTTTGTAGGCCGCTCTGAGACACCTTTGGGTAGTGAAGGGCGGGGTAGAAATCCAGTCTCTTCTTCTTCTTCTTCTAAAACGTAGTCACAAATTGATGCATCATTTAAAAATTAAAACCGATTGATTAACAATAATTCAGCTGGTGGAGTACCTGAGTTTTAGATGTTGGGACCTTCCTCACAAACCTCTGGGACGGGGCGGGGTCTGAATAAATGGATGTTAGTTATTAGTATTCAGTGAAAGTTAAGCTCCTTCTGCTTCTGACGGTCAGATTATTTGCACCCACAAAATGAAGCATGTCCCCAATACTCCTCCGTTGCCTCTCCTTACAGGAACACTGTTATTACCACGGCCACGTCCAAGGGCACAAAGGATCCTGGTTGGTGCTGAGCACCTGCTCCGGAATCAGGTAAGGAAAGCGATTCAGAGGCTTGGCGTTCACAGACATCGACATTTGGTCTGCAGAGGTCTCCAGGGTGCTGCTGGGAAGGAGGGTGTAAGGTTTTGCGTGCAAAAAGACCCAGGTTCCACCATTGGGAACTTCAGCTGAAAGGACCAGTGGTTGTCAGACTGGAAAGATCTCCGCCAAAGACCCCTGAGAGCCACACCCCAGTTGTGATGGGGAGTTCACGTGTCCCCAGCAATGCTCCCTCTAAGCTGTGGAGTCTTGTGAGCAAAAATCCTACTTTGCTAGCCACCGGCATTAAAGTTGTGAGCGAGCGATTTGGCTGCTGCATCAATGAGTTTGCTGTGGAGCCCCATCCTTCCTGAGCGAAGACAAAAACGGGTGAGCCGGAGGCTAAAAAACTGTGAGTTAGCTCACACTAACTCAGCGTAGAGGGAACACTGGTCCCCAGGGCTTTTTGTTGTTGTTGAAAAAGAGGTGCCGGAACTCTCTAGAGGGAAATGAAGTTTGCAATCCGTATACTGAAAACTCATGAACTTTTAAACATTTTAAAAAATGATTTTGTCGAAGACGTTCCTGAACTCTGTTCGGGCATGTTCCCCCCCAGGGAAAAAACCCCTGCATGACCCTCAAATATCCTTAGATAGGGAAGGTTTCTTTTCCCCTCCTCTTATTTGACTCCCGTTCTCTTTACATTGGAGCAGGGGGTTGTCTCCTTTGCACCCGGGATGGCCGGGTTGGAACTGCTCCTGGGGAAACTCTGCAGCCTCTGCTTCTCGCTCTCGGTCCACCCGCCCCCCCTCCCCACCCCCAGCTGCCGCTGTAGGACTCAAAATAACCCTGGCAGGCTTCATCCGTGTGAGCCGCATCTTTAGGAACGCCGGCAAAGTGAGGTCATCTCTTGGCTACGCACGGACTCGAGACCTTAACGGACCCTCGGACGAGTCCCTCGCTCAGTCGTCTGCACAACTGGGTTTTCATCCTCCTTGCAGGGGGAGTCTTGCCCGAGGCCTCAACAGAATGAGTATGAACTTAAACAGGGTGCTGGATGAGGTTAGAGCACTTTCCCCCGGGGACTCGGCAGTTACACCACATGCAAAGCAGCTCTCTGGTACGGCTGCATCAGACCAGTGGTCCATCTCGTCTAGCATCCTGTTTCCCTCAACCGCCGACCGGATGCCCCTGAAAGCCCATCAGCAGGCACACAGAGTCATACCCCCCCGCCCCCAGCATCTGTGGCTGCCAACCTCCAGGTGGGGAGTGGGATTGCAAAAACAACATCTGTGACAAGAATAACCAAGAGTCAATAAAGATAAGTTGCAAAAACGTTTGCTGTAGTAATGTCTGTAGAAAATGTCCTTCTGTTATCGCTCACACGCTAACGAATGCTGCGCAATGAAAACAATCCGTTTCACAATATTTGCTTTATCTGAGCGTGTAGAAATCCCAATCCTTATCGATTACTACTTATCAACTAACTCATTAGCATAACTTATTTGTGTATGCCACACCCCCTGACATCACCGGACGTGTGTCAGAAGGCAACACCCACCGCTCAGGCTCCACTGGACTGTTTTGGATTGCTAGCTGTTGGGGGGGAGGAGAACATGCAGATCTGTCCTCGCAGAGGAGGGAGAGCTTGTACCTGAATAAAACTTGGTCTTAAAGGTGCCACTGGACTGTTTTGGGGCGGGGGGCCGGGGGGTGGGCTCTGCAGCTTACCTGGCTGCTTCTTGCTCTGACTGAGGGCTGCTGGGAGCAGGGGGCGGGGCTTGTTGCATGTGTCCACCCAAAGAAATAACCTATGCTAGGACAGTGGATCACTGGGACCCACTCTATTGTCTTTTCTTTCTTTCTTTCTTTCTTTCTTTCTTTCTTTCTTTCTTTCTTTCTTTCTTTCTTTCTTTCTTTCTTTCTTTCTCTCTCTCTCTCTCTCTCCCTCCCGCCCTCCTTCCATCCATCCCTTCCTCGCTCCCTTCCTCCCACCCTCCCTCTTTCTTTCTTTCTTTCTTTCTTTCTTTCTTTCTTTCTTTCTTTCTTTCTTTCTTTCTTTCTTTCTCTCTTTCTCTCTTTCTCTCTTTCTCTCTTTCTCTCTTTCTCTCTTTCTCTCTTTCTCTCTTTCTCTCTCTCTCTCTCTCTCTCTCTCTCTCTCTCTCTCTTTCTTTCTTTCTTTCTTTCTTTCTTTCTTTCTTTCTTTCTTTCTTCCTCTCTTTCTTCCTCTCTTTCCTCTCTTTCTCTCCTCTTTTTCTCTCTTTCTCCCTCTCTCTTTCTCCCCCCTCTCTTTCTCCCTCTCTCTCTCTCTCTTTCTCCCTTCCTTTCTCCCTCCTTCCCTTCTCTGTCTCTCTCTCTTCCCCTTCCTCCCCTCCCTCCCTCCCTCCCCCCCCTTGCAATAGTAATCATATGTTTCTGGTCTATTTTGCAGCGGCCTGATCGCCCTCGGCCAGAACGACAGCTATTACCTGAAAGCCCCAGGGGACTCAGGATCCGAGCACCACATCATCTACAGGGCAGAACATTTGCCGTCCAGGGGCGGGACCTGCGGGCACGGCGAGCTGCTCCCAAGCAACGTAGCGGATCTGGCGAGAGCCTTCGATATGCCAACAGCACTCCGGCGGGTAAAGCTTCCCGGGCTGTTCTGAGAACTGACTAGGGACGCCAGGCTCTCTGGATCAGCTGCAGTGTGTGGCAAAGCATTCGGGGCCGGCGCCGGTGTACCCCAAAGGGGAGGCAGCCAACGCCCCCTCTACGCTGTGGAGTCTCGTGAGCAGAAATGCCAATTTGTGAGCTCCAGGCATTCAAGTTGTGAGCGAGCGATTTGGCTACTGCATAAGTCAGTTTGCTCTGGAGCCCTCCTTCCTGAGCTAAGACAAAAATGGGTGAGCCGGAGGCTACAAAGCTGTGAGCTAGCTCACACTAACCCAGCTTAGAGGGAACACTGGAGGCAGCCAAATTATGGCAACCTGGAGGGTTTTCAAGGCAAGAGGACAAACAGGGGAAGTTTAAGAACTTAAGAGGAGCCCCCAGAAGTGGTTGCAGAGTCTTCTGCTACAAGAAGTCTCATAATCGGACGGAGTATTTCTGGAATCCGCCCAGGTGAATCTTCTGTTGGAATTGTTAGACGAGCAGAGCACCATCTGTAAACTTTATTTTGAGTTCTTTAATTTATCCTCCATAGTTGTTGTTTGCGTATTAAGTATATATTTAGTCTCTCAGTCTCCGTAGATGCTTGATCTACGATGAAAAGCATAAAATCATAAGAGCATTTATTAAGTATAGCCATGCATTTATTGTGGAATTCACTGCCACAGAAGGTGGTGGCAGCTACAAGCATGGACGGCTTAAGAACATAAGAACATAGGAGACACCAATGTTGGATCAGGCCAAAGGCCCATCCAGTCTGTCACACAGTGGCCTAAAATACCATGTGCCATCTGGAGGTCCCCCAGTGGGGATTCTCTGTCTTCTTGTTGCTTGGGGGGGGGGGAGCGAACAGTGGGAGGGCTTCTAGTGTCCTGGCCCCACTGGTGGACCCCCTGATGGCACTGGTATTTCTGGCCACTGTGTGACACAGAGTGTTGGGCTGGATGGGCCTTTGGCCTGATCCAACATTGGCTTCTCTTATGTTCTTATATCTGGGACAAGTGATGCTCTGTATTCTTGGTGCTTGGGGGGGGGTCAACAGTGGGGGGGCATTAGGTGTCCTGGCCCCACTGGTGGACCTCCTGAGGGCACCTGGTATTTTTGGCCACTGTGTGACAGAGTGTTGGACTGGATGGGCCACTGGCCTGATCCAACACGGGCTTCTCTTATGTTCTTATGTCTGGGGCAAGGGATGCTCTCTTTTCTTGGTGCTTGGGGGGGGGCAACAGTGGGAGGGCTTCCAGTGTCCTGGCCCCACTGGTGGACCTCCTGATGGCACCTGGTATTTTTGGCCACTGTGTGACACAGAGTGTTGGACTGGATGGGCCACTGGCCTGATCCAACATGGCTTCTCTTATGTTCTTATGTCTGGGGCAATGATGCTCTGTTTTCTTGGTGCTTGGGGGGGCACAGTGGGAGGGCTTCTGGAGTTCTGGTCCTGCTGGTGGAGCTCCTGATGGCACCTAGTATTTTTGGCCACTGTGTGACAGAGTGTTGGACTGGATGGGCCACTGGCCTGATCCAACGTTGGCTTTTCTGATGTTCTTATGTTTAAGCATGCAGTGCTAACCTCAGTCTTGTTTAATCTAATATTTATAGTTGAGTCCAACTCATCGTGAGAGAAACTTTGAGTGAGTTTAGGAGCATTAGCTAAAATCCTATCTTTTTCTTCCGCAGAGAAGTCAAAATGATTAGATAATTGCATCAGAGTCCAAAAATGTACATAAACAAAAAGGAGAGGAATTCCCAGCAGTGTATAAATAAAGAAAAAGCTGTGGAATGGGATGCTAAGCAAGGCAGAAGGCCTATTATGCTATGAAACAATTCAAGTAATCAGTAAATGCAAATTACAATTCGCAAAGAATAGAAAATAGAATAAACATGCAATGCAAATTTGTGAATGAATGTACAAGAAGGATCGTATTAGCTTTGTTTCGAGTGTCTTCTTCACAGACGTTTTTATACAAATGCTAAAAGTATGGACAGTAATATTACATAATGTGTACAATATATAGGACTGCAATATGAATTAAATAGAAAACAAAGAATAAAAATATAATACCACTTGGCCAATGGCCCATCCAGTCCAACACTCTGTGTCACACAGCGGGCAAAACCGAGGTGCCATCAGGAGGTCCAGCAGTGGGGCCAGAACTCTAGAAGCCCTCCCACTCGGGAGCCCCCCCCCCAAGGACCAAGAATACAGAGCATAAAACATAAGAGAAGCCATGTTGGATCAGGCCAGTGGCCCATCCAGTCTAACACTCTGTGTCACACAGTGGCCCAAACCCAGGTGCCATCACGAGGTCCAGCAGTGGGGCCAGAACTCCAGAAGCCCTCCCACTGTTCCCCCCCCCAAGGACCAAGAAGACAGAGCATCCCTGCCCCTGACAGAGTGTTCCAGCTATACCTTGGGCTAATAGCCACGGGTGGACCTCTGCTCCAGATGTTGACCCCATCCGAGTTTGTCATTGCCTGGCTCTGTCAACCCAGGAGGACTTCCCTGGGGGTCTCCCTTCCAAATATTAACCAGGACTTAGCTTCCGAGATCTGATTAGATCAGGCTAGCCTGGGAGCAACGCTCCCTTTAAGCTGTGGAGACTTGTGAGCAAAAATTCTACTTTGTGAGCTGCTGGCATTCAAGTTGTGAGCAAGCGGTTTGGCTGCTGCACCAATTAGTTTGCTCTGGGGCCGTCCTTCCTGAGCCGAGACAAAAATGTGTGAGCTGGAGGCTAAAAAAACCCTGTGAGCTAGCTCACACTAACTCAGAGGGAACACTGGCTACAAGCACTGATGCTGTCCCTACCTTGGCTCACCCCTGGCAAACGTTCTGGCCACAATGGAAGCGACAAATGCTGGCTCTGAACCAGCCTCATGTTTAGCGATGGGGCAAGAGAGTTGCCAACCTCCAGGTGGCACCTGGAGTTCCCCCAGTATTATAGCTGATCTCCCGGTGACAGAAATCCTTATGTGCCTCTCGTGAGACTTCCTTATGTTGTTACATGTGCAGGACATACATCCAGGCTGGGAAAGATGGGTGTGCAGATAGGGATCTGCCGAGGATGGGCGAGTGAGCGTCAACGTGGCAAATGGGGTTCAATGTGGCCAAGTGCAAGGTGATGCACATTGGAGCCAAAAATCCTAAATATAAATACACATTGATGGGGTCCAAATTGTCAGAGACTGACCAAGAGAGAGATCTTGGAGTCGTAGTAGATAACTCAATGAAAATATCGAGACAGTCTGTGACTGCAATAAAGAAGGCCAATGCTATGCTGGGGATTATTAGGAAGGGAACTGAAAACAAATCAGTCAGTATCATAATGCCCCTGTATAAATCGATGGTGCGACCTCATTTGGAATACTGTGTGCAGTTCTGGTCACCACACCTCGAAAAGGATATTATAGCTTTGGAAAAAGTGCAGAAAAGGGCAACTAGAATGATAAAAAGGTTGGAACACTTTCCCTATGAATAAAGGTTAAAGCGCTTGGGGGCTCTTTAGCTTGGAGAAACAATGGCTGAGGGGTGACATGATCGAGGTTTATAAGATTATGCATGGGATAGAGCAGGTTGAGAAAGAAGTCCTTTTCTCCCTTTCTCACAATGCAAGAACTCAAGTGGGCACTCAATGAAATCGCTGAGTGGTCGGGTTAGAACAGATAAAAGGAAGTCCTTCTTCACCCAAGGAGTGATTAACACATGGAATTCACTGCCGCAGGAGGTGGCAGCGGCTACAAGCATGGACGGCTTCAAGCGGGAACTGGATAAACATATGGAGCAGAGGTCCATCAGTGGCTCTTAGCCACAAAGTATAGATAGGAACTCACAGGCTGTGGCAGGTGATACTCTGTATTCTTGGTGCTTGGGGGGGCAACAGTGGGAGGGCTTCTAGAGTCCTGGCCCCACTGCTGGACCTCCTGATGGCCCCTGGTATTTTTGACCACTGTGTGACAAGGGCTTCTAGTGTCCTGGCCCCACTGGTGGACCTCCTGATGGCCCCTGGTATTTCTGGCCACTGTGTGACGGAGTGTTGGACTGGATGAGCCACTGGCCTGATCCAACATTTGACTTCTCTTATGTTCTTATGTTCTTTGGAGTGTGGACTCTCGCTGAGATCCCTCCCCAGACCCTGCCTTCCCCAGCCTCTGCCCCCAAATCTCCAGGAACCCCCCCCCCCGGATTTGGCAACCCCTCGTGTCCTTTCTGGTGACGTTTTGTCGTTTCTGTTGCAGAAAAGGCGAGACGCCTGGAGGACGATGAAATACATGGAGCTCTTCATTGTGGCGGACTTCACCCTGGTGAGAACCTTGCGCCTTCTGAAGCTGCAGTGAAGTCTCGCAGGGACCCCAAAGCCCAGCTGTGCTGCACCTCGCGTCTACCTGCGGGTCCTCCTCAGTTAGGGTTGCCAGACCCCAACCCCCCAGAGGAGGTGGGCGTCCCCCGCTGACAGACCCTGGCCCCCAGCGGCCGATCACCTGGCCGGCAGAGGGACTTGCCCGGAGAAAGAGAAAGGCCCGCCCTTCATTGCCAGCACCACACAGGAAGTGATGTCATCACACCAGCGATGCCCGGGTGACGCTCTGGTATTTGGGCAAAAACTCTATGGTAGACCGCTCCTAGAGTATTGTGTTCAGTTTGGGACACCGCAATCTGTAAGAAGGATATAGACAAGCTGGAATGTGTCCAGAGGAGGGCGGCGAAGATGGGGTGGGGTCTGGAGACCAAGTCCTGTGAGAAAAGGTTGAAGGAGCTGGGTCTGTTTAGCCTGGAGAGGAGACGACTGAGATCGAGGCTCTTAAACAAGTGATTTCATTTTATTCAGCTCATAACAACACTAGACAAATATACATAGAACAAGGCTGGCTTATATATGATTTAGACGGGCAAAACCACACCCGTAAACAGATAACGACCAATCATAATGCGTACATAACGGCCAATGGGTGTTGTTCCTTCCGGAACCATTCCTACGCGCTGATTGGCCCACTGTGCAAAGCAGCCAATCAGAATGTGCACTTTAGAATACCAGGCCTCTGGTATTGCCTTGCCTGAAGCGCAGGCATACTTGTTGTATTACACGGTAAGGACACACTACATCGCCTTTGCTGGCTTGGGACCAATGGGATTCGTTCCCGCCAGAAACAGAGTCCCCCTGGATTGGTCTGTCTCGCAACCAGGGGTCATTTCCTGCAGGAGCGCACAGGAGTGGAACTCCGGCAGTAAAGAGCTCAGGAGGTGGGCACATGCAACAAGCCCCACCCCCTGCTCCCAGCAGCCCTCAGTCAGAGTAAGAAGCAGCCAGGTAAGTTGCAGAGCTTCCCCCGGTCCAAAACAGTCCAGAGAAGAAGAAGAAGAAGAAGAAGAAGAAGAAGAAGAAGAAGAAGAAGAAGAAGAAGAAGAAGAAGAAGAAGAGATTGGATTTATACCCCGTCCTTCACTTGGAGTCTCAGAGCGGCTTACAAACTCCTTTCCCTTCCCCTCCCCACAACAGACACCCTGTGAGGTAGGTGGGGCTGAGAGAACGCGGACACAAACTGCTCTTTCAGGAACAGCTGTGCCAGAGCTTGTGACTGACCCAAGGTCAGCAGGTGCAAGTGGAGGAGTGGGGAATCAAACCCGGTTCTCCCAGATTAGAGTCCGCACACTTAACCACTACACCAAACTGGCTCCCCTTTAAGTGGCACCTTTAAGACCAACTTTTATTCAGGTACAAGCTCTTGTTCGCCACGGCCTGCTTCTGCGGAGTGACCCTGGACTCCCCCTGGTCGTCTCCCATTATAAGTACTAACCAGGACCGACCCTGCTGGGGCTCTGAGATCAGCCGGGGTATATTTGTCCCTCTCCTGACCTAGGACTCTCCAATATCAGGCCGTACAAATTTGTGTTTTACAATGGGATACAGTGACCTTTTTGGTCTTCATGAGCGGGATTTTTTAAAACTGATTTTTAAAACCGATTTAAACTGAGGATGGTATGGAGTTGTTTTCTGTTGCCCCAGGAAGTTGGACCGGAACCAACGGGTTGAAATCGAATCAGAAGAGTTTTCGGCTAAACATTAGGAAGAACTTCCTGACATTTGCAGCGGTTCCTCGGTGGAACGGGCTTCCTCGGGAGGTGGTGGGCTCTCCTTCTCAGGAGGTTTTTAAGCAGAGGCTAGATGGCCCCATCTGACAGCAATGCGGACTCTGTGAACTTGGGCAGATCAGGAGAAGGGAGGGCAGGAAGGGTTGCATCATTGCTTAGTTCTCGTGGCCCTTTCTTACACGCCCAGGGAAATGCCGATCGCCACTTTGGGGTCGGGAAGCCATTTTCCTCCAGGCCAGTTTGGCCGGGGATCCTGGAGGTTTTTTGCCATCTTCTGAGCATGGAACAGGGGTCACTGTGTGTGTGTGTGTGTGTGTGTGTAGGGAGGTGTTTGTGAATGTCCTGCCTTGTGCAGGGGGTTGAACTAGATGACCCTGGAGGTCCCTGCCAACTCTATGATTCTACAGTTCTAGAAGCTGGTTTTACCATAGAGCTTTTGCCCAAATACCAGAGTGTCGCAGCGACATCTCAGTGTGCTGACATCACTTCCTGTGCGATGCCAGCAACAAGGCCTTGGCCTCTCTCTTTCTTCCTGCAAGTCCCCCCCCAATCCCCCGCCGTTTGCCAGGGGGGACCTGTTGAACCCTCTCCTCAGTTGTACCAAATGAGGCCTGCCATGCCCTGTCAATCAGTCAACCAACCAATCATTCAATCAATTTATTGTAGCAGTCAACGACCAGCAGTACAGTACATGCCCTGTCATGAGAACGGCTCTCTCAAGTCTTGGAAAGACGTTCCTCATCTTCCCACCTTGGTTGCTGAAGGTCCTTTAACTCGAAAAGATGGGACCAAATCTTGGATTTCCCCCCACACATGCCCTGCTACCAATTGGAGGCTGTTGCTTCCGGAGGAGGAATGAACAACGATGATCAGTTTCTTCTCTCCCTGCTCAAACTTGCCCGAATTTTAATACGCTGTCCGTGCAACCCTTCCCGAGGGTAAATCCCAATGAATAAAACAAGATTTCCTTCTGAGTAGACCAGCTTAGGTTTGCTTTCTAAAGGCTCAAAGGGACCTGACAACGATCGCGGATCTCTGCCCACCTTTAACAGACAGATTGCGTATAAGTTCATTTGCTGCCCCATAAAGGGAGAAAGGATTTATTATTATTTAAAAGATACATTTTTATTCTTCCCTTCCTCCTCAGAACTCAATAAGCCTGTCTATAAAGTTCTTCTGTCTGGTATTTTATCCTCACAACAACCCTCCAAGGTAGGTTAGCCCGAGTGCCTGGCCCGAGATCCCCCAGTGAGTTGAGTGGTGGAGTGGGGGGTTTGAATCCAGGCCTCTTAGAGCAGGGGTGTCAAACATGTGGCCCGGGGGCCAGATGAGGCCCCCGGAGGGCTTCTCTCAGGCCCGCAGTGGAACTGGCTGGCTTCTGCTGCTTCTTCCAGTTCTGCTGCTGCTGCGTCATTGTAGGTTTGCAGCTTACAGATACACACCTGAACAGCAGACTCAAGATTGCAACAGCACAGACATTTTGGTGCAATAATTCAGAGCAAGAGGTGTCAGTTATCAGGCAGTGTTAAATCAACAAAATATTGCAAGAGTGCTAATGTTTTAAGCATGTTTTTATTTTAAGTTAAAAAAACACCCTTTGTGTCCTTTATAAAGTTTACATTGTATGACACACATGGCCCGGCCCAACAAGGTCTCATTTAGGTCAGATGCGGCCCTCGTAACAAATGAGTTCGACACCCCTGTCTTAGAGCCTACTCTAGTGCTTCTCACCTCAACAGAGCAAAATATAATAAGGAATCCTATATGAATTAAAAGCCCTTCAAGACAATATTGAGCCCAGAGACATGGCTGAGGAAGAACTTGAACTCAGGTCTCCCCAATCCTACCTTGAACACTTTAAACACCTTTGCAAATCAAAACGAGCTTTTGCACAGTCCTTTATATTTTAGAGGAAAATACACCTCCTGCAGGACCTACCTCATTTTCTTTAAAATACTAATAGCAGCACAGAGATCTTGGTCTTTGGCCACCACCATGTCTTGTGGTGGGGAATTCCATAAGCAAACTATACGTTTTATGAAGCTTTAATTCGTCCATCCTCATTTTCCCCTTGCCATTTGAACCAGCTTGAGAGGCTTAAAGTCCTGCTCCTAGTTTGGAGTATCTGAAAGACCTGTTCCGTGATTTTGGCCCAGAACAAAAACAAGTCCTTACGGATGAGTGTTTCTGCACACTGCATCATGGTATTTGTAGTTCTTCAGAGAGCACTGCCTCATGGCCTTTGTAGTTCTGCAAAGAGCACACAGCAGTCTATGGGGTCTTGTTTGAAAAATACCACTAATTGTAGCTCTTTGCCTGTCTTCCCCCCCTCCCTTCTTTCTTTCTCCCTCTCTTTCCCAGTTCCTGTCTCAAAAGCAAAATTTGGGGCGCACAAAGCAACGGATCCTGGAGATCGCTAATTTTGTGGACAAGGTAAGAGGCAGGTGGCTGGAGATCAGTGGGGAGCTGGTGATGGTTGCATGGCTATTTGTGCAGTAAATGGAACTCCCTGGGCATCAGTCCATCTCATGCCGAGGTGGGAATGTGGGAGCAGATGTCACCTTTTCAGATGGTGGCGGACTGCAGCTTCGAATGGCCCTTTGCATGAAAAACCTTCACGCAGCTAGAAACGTAGCACTTCAGGGACAAACGTTCTGCTCCCCTCTCATTGCTTGGGGGGTGGGCTTTCTATTTGCTCAAAAGGAACGATTCCAAAAATGTAACCCTCCCCTTCTGGCAGTCTGAAGTCGGGGTAGTCCCTTCCGCTACATAATTCCCTCTCCGTCGTGCATGAACCAGGTCACAAGTCTTTGTCTTCTACTACTGTGCGCCCTTCCTCTGTGTGAACAAACACCTCCTCACCCTACCCTGACCCACCCCAAGTATCCCATGAAAACCATCCTAGGCGTCATGTGGGTGGGGGCAGCATCCCGGGATAAATCTTTTAAAAGAAAAATAAGGGTTATTCTACTTGCAGGAAGTTCTGACCAAAGAGTTTTGGTCAAAATGCTAGAGTGTCGATGCATGACGCGCCCGGCCTGACTTCCGGGCAAAGTCATTGCATCGAGAACATCGACCTTGGATAGGGCTGTTTCGGGGTGGGGTTTCCCTTGTCAGCCAGTTGGCCAGTGGGAGATTGGAGCCCCTAAAATCGGGGGGAACCCCCGCCCTGACTGGGGGTCTGGCAACCCTATCATAAATGTGGCATTCCCTGCAAAACACTGGGTAGCCCCCCCCCTGCAATGGCTTTCTCCCCTTCATAAAAGGTTTGGTTCTATACAGGTGTCTTTGGGTTGAAACAGGGGGCTTACCAGACTCTGTGCAGATTTCTGTAGCAGGAAGGATACTGTGGTACGTCCAGGTGTCATTTCCTGTGGGAGCGCACAGGAGCGGAGCTCCGGCAGTAAAGAGCCCAGGGGGCGGGCACATGCAACAAGCCCCACCCCTTTCTCCCAGCAGCCCTCAGTCAGAGCAAGAAGCAGCCAGGTAAGCTGCAGAGCCCCCTTTTAGCCCCCCAGTCCAAAACAGTCCAGTGGCACCTTTAAGACCAAGTTTTATTCAGGTACAAGCTCTCCCTCTTCTGCGAGGACAGATCTGCATGTCCCCCCCCCCCCAATAGCTAGCAATCCAAAACAGTCCAATGGAGCCTGAGTGGTGGGTGTTGCCTTCTGACACACTTCCAGTGATGCCAGGGGGTGTGGCATATGCAAATAAGTTATGCTAATGAGTTATGCTAATGAGCTCCTGCACCTCTTTTTCTACGAAATGACCCCTGGGTATGTCTCCCCCCTTGCTGATATGGACCTTGCATGTCCTTTTCTGGAAACTCAGACGAGAAGGTTTCTCTCGCATTTTACCTCCCCCGCTGAACTCCCGAGCTCAACTCCCCTGTTAGAAGCCCTGCCTGAAAGCCCTGCAATGCAAGCCCCCAGGAAACCTGTGTGCCTTCGTACCAAGTCAGACCTCTGATGCACTCTGCTTGATACCTATGCCAAATGTTGCACGGTGTTCTGGAGTGACGTCTCTATAAAAGTCTCCTTCCTTCCTTCTCTTCCGTTCTCCAGTTTTACAGGTCCCTGAATATCAAAGTGGCCCTGATCGGTCTCGAGGTGTGGACGGAGCGGGACCAGTGCCGAGTGACCAGTGACGCTAACACCACCCTTTGGTCCTTTCTGCAGTGGAAGAAGTCTCTGAAGTCGCGGAAGAAGCACGACAACGCCCAGTTGCTGACGTGAGTCTTCTGGCCTGGCGGCCCCCACTGTATTGCACCACGCCCTGGCCAGCTTCACCCACTGGTTGTATGTCCTGTTCCCTTCCACCCCTCAGTTTTCTGCTTTCAAAAGTGCGGAAAACAGAACACGGGATTTAACGTTTCCCCAGTATAGCCCTTTCAGGCACACCTTCTTGTGAAGATTCTCTTGTGTGATTTCATAGCTAAATAGTCAGTGTGGCAACGTAGGATGTGGGACTGGTTTGAACTGGTCTTGCGCCTATTTTTGTTGCTGCGGCACGAGACTGAAAGGGGATTATGGCAAAGCGGGCAGGAGAACAACTGGTGGAGGAAGGGGAGCAGGATGTCCCCCAAAGGTCTAGCAAATACTGCTTGTCTAATCGATGAAAATATCTGTTACGTTGGGTGGGAGCTGGAGCTCCATGGCAGAGCCTCTGCTTGGCATGCAGAAGGTCCCAGGTTCTGTCTCCAAAATCTCCAGCTTAAAAAGATCAAATAGTTGGTGATGTGAAAGACCTCCATCTGAGACTAATCCTCTGAATCCCAGAGCCAGGAGGCAACAAGCCGCCCTGAGCCCGTTGGGGAGGGCGGGGTATGAATGTGAAAAATAAATAAATAAATAGATAAATAAACATCAGGGGAAAGCCTCGGCCTCTGTGCCCAGTTGTTGGCCCTCCAGAGGAGCTGGTTGGCCACTGTGTGAGACAGGAGGCTGGACTGGATGGACCCTCCCTGGTCTGATCCAGCAGGGCTCTTCTGAGGTTCCTATCAGGGGGAGGCCTTGGCCTCTCTGCCCTGTTGTTGGCTCTCCAGAGGAACTGGCTGGCCGCTGTGTGAGACGGGAGGCTGGACTGGATGGACCCTCACTGGTCTGACCCAGCAGGGCTCTTCTGAGGTTCCTATCAGGGGAAGGCCTCGGCCTCTCTGCCCTGTTGTTGGCCCTCCAGAGGAACTGGCTGGCCGCTGTGTGAGACAGGAGGCTGGACTAGATGGACCCTCCCTGGTCTGATCCAGCAGGGCTCTTCTGAGGTTCTTATCAGGGGAAGGCCTCGGCCTGTCTGCCCTGTTGCTGGCCCTCCAGAGGAACTGGCTGGCCACTGTGTGAGCAAAAGATACTGGACTAAGTGGACCCTCTCTGGTCTGACCCAGCAGGGATCTTCCGATGTTCTTCTGAGATCCTGGAGAGCAGCTGCTAGACTGGATAGAGAATGCTGAGTTAGATTAATTGTTGGCCTGACTCAGTAGCCCCGTTCACACATGACAGTGAATACATGTTATTTCCTGCATGTCTGTGTCAGATCTTCATGTCTGTGTTAGATCTTCACCCAAAGAATGATTCACACATGGAATTCACTGCCACAGGAGGGGGTGGCGGCTACAAGCATGGACGGCTTCAAGAGGGAATTAGATAAGCATTTGGAGCAGAGGTCCCTCAGTGGCTCTTAGCCACAAGGTGTGGATAGGAACTCTCGGTCTGGGGCAAGGGATGCTGTATTCTTGGTGCTTGGGGGGGGCAACAGTGGGAGGGCTCCTGGTGTCCTGGCCCCACTGCTGGACCTCCTGATGGCCCCTGGTATTTTTGGCCACTGTGTGACACAGAGTGTTGGACTGGATGGGCCTTTGGCCAGATCCAACATTGGCTGCTCTTATGTTCTTATGTTGTTATCCGTAGAGAATGCTGAGTTAGATTAATCATTGGCCTGACTCAGTAGCCCCGTTTACACATTACAGTGAATGTATGTATTTCCTGCATGTCTGTGTTAGATCAGTTTGTAAGAAAGAGCCAACTGTATTCACTTTACAACTTAAGAACATAAGGACGTAAAAGAAGCCAATGTTGGATAAGCAATGGTTAGATAAGCATATGGAGCAGAGGTCCATCAGTGGCTCTTAGCCACAAGGAATAGATAGGGACTCTGGGGCAAGCTTCTAATGTCCTGGCCCCACTGGTGGACCTCCTGATGGCACTGGTATTTCTGGCCACTGTGTGATACAGAGTGTTGGACTGGATGGGCCATTGGCCTGATCCAACATTGGCGTCTCTTATGTTCTTATGTTCTTATGGATCAGGCCAATGGCCCATCTAGTCCAACACTCTGTGTCACACACTGGCCAAAAAAAACCCCTTAAACCAGAGGCCAGCATCTGGATAAAAGTGCGGTTTCTGTCACACGTTTGGCTGTACATGTGTTGAAAGTAACATGAAAATTATGCAATGCATGGGTATTTTTTAAAAAAAATCTTTCTTTCAAAAGAAACAGAAAAATAGAAGAGAAAAAAAGGGGGGGGGGGAGAATCTCAAAATCCAGTAACTAATTTAGATACCAACAAGGGGGGACCCGCGATACTCGCGGGGTGGGCAGTCTCTCTCTTTCCCCCCGTTCTCTCTCTTCCCCCCCAGTCTCTCTCTCTGTCTCTCTCTCCCCCCTTCTCTCTCTTCCCCCCCAGTGTCTCCCCCCCTTCTC